ATCCCTCTCATCATCTTCATCCCTCTCATCTCCATCCCTCTCCATCCCTCTCATCATCTCCATCCCTCTCATCATCTCCACCCCATGTCATGTAAATTGAAATTGAATTATGAAATTGAATTCTTTGAACAGAATATCATTTTAATTTGATTCAATTTAGGTTATATTATTTTTGTATGTTCTTTTTGGTTACTAAATAGTAATCAATTAAACTGCTTTATTGCTGATTTTTTTTGGTTTGGTTTTTTTTTTTTTTTTTGGGGGGGGGGGGGGGAGTGGAAATTCATTTTGACCCCCACCCCCCCCCCCACACACACACACACTTTTTATATGGGAGGAGGGTGAGTCCCCTGCCCCCACTTCTGGCGCCTATGATTGCAAGAATGGCTGAATTTCTGAAAAAGGGGCACCTACAAAGGGACAAATCAACAATAAAAACCATTTTTAGATATTTGTATAAAGGCCTACGCCTTCGTCAAGATTGTGAATACATTACCACGAATGACATCAATATTTGTTTATTTCTTTACGTGGAACAACATTATTGTTTAAGCAACATACTTCGCGATTTGGTGTGATGGACTGAATATCGATTTTTGAGCAAGCGAGCTAAAAGTATAAGGTCCCATTTGAAAAATTACATGATGAATATTAAAGACAATTTAATGAAGAAAGACTGAAAAGTTCTTTTAAGTAATTATGAGTAACATTATAATTTAAACATCTGAGAAAGAAAAGTAGGCACTTATCAGAAGGGAAAAGGACATGTACAAAATGATAAGGGGGCACTTTAGGGGAACCTGAAAAAGTGGAGGCACAGTGCCTCCCCCCCCCCCAACCAAGAATGCCGCCTCTGACTGTGGGCAAAAGTGCGAAACTAACCCAGAAAATCTAGAAATAAACCAAATTTTAATTTTATTTCGCAGTTTAACTGCCCCCTTCCCCGTCAGTATGCCAGTGCTTCCAGTAGGCCTATCCTTCCATGAATTCCTACCATTAAAAATTATCAGAAGGGAAAAGGACATGTACAAAGGATAAGGGGGCACTTTAGGGGAACCTGGAAAAGTGGGGGCACAGTGTCCCCCCCCCCCCCAACCAAGAATGCCGCCTCGGACAAAACCCAGAAAATCTAGAAATAAACCACATTCCAATTTTATTTCGCGGGTCAACTGCCCACCCCCCCCCCCCCCCCATCAGTACGCCAGTGCTTCCAGTATCCTACCATTAAAAAAATTCTGGGACAGAAAAATGCAGCTGTCATAGACCTCTAGATCAAAAGTATATTATTGTTACAAGGGAAATCAACTTTATTCTTTGTAATGACTATGTTTTTAAAAGCACGAAAATCATGAAAAATGACAATTTCATTTCAATATATATTATTGTTACAAGGGAAATCAACTTTATTCTTTGTAATGACTGTGTTTATAAAAGCACGAAAATCATGAAAAATGACAATTTCATTTTAATATATATTATTGTTACAAGGGAAATCAACTTTATTCTTTGTAATGACTGTGTTTATAAAAGCACAAAAATCATGAAAAATTACAATTTCATTTCATTTTAGATCTAGAAATCATGATGGGAAAAAAGTGTGGTGAGTTGTTCGAAAAGGCTGTGGCGAGTTGTCCAGGGTATTGTGGCGGATTGTCCAGGGTATTGTGGCGGGATGTCCAGGGTATTGTGGCGGGTTGTCTTGGGGCGTGTTGTCTTTGTGGCGAGTTGTCTGGACCCCGATTCGTTGTACCGTTCTCGACTCTTTATCCTTATCTGAATTCAGTTCCGTCCCCCCTTCCCGCGCGGAAGCTTTGATGTTTCATTAAATAATTAGAGAAAGAAGACGATTCGTTGTACCGTTCTCGACTCTTAATCCTTTTTCTTCCTACGTCCTCTTACTTTTTCTTTTTTCTTTTTTTTCTTTTTTTTTGGGGGGGGGGCGACCGCCCCCCAATGCCCCCCACTGCCCCCCCCCCTACCTGGCTACGCGCCTGCCCCTCCAAAATAAAAAAAAAGAAGGCGATTCTTCAGCTCACTTCTCTTACAGTACTAGGCTAGGCCCTTACGAGAGATCTAGCTATTTATCAAGTCTCTAACTTTTAGGAGTAAAATATGATTATCTGATTATGAAAAAGAAAAATTCCATTCCTTCATTAATCGGATATTCTACTCTGAATGACTAATCTAGAATATGATAATGATGTAGCTACAGTAGATATAGATCTAGGTCTAGTTTACTCACTAAATCAAATTGGATACTCTACTCGGAATGAATAATGATAATAAAGTAGATATAGATCTAGTTTGATTAGTTATACTCACACATCACTCGATCAAATTGGGCAGTACAATCATGCAATGCAGTGCAGCAGCCCGGTACGAGTCAGTGAATTCCCCCGCCGACCCGGCCGGCGGCGCTGTACGGCTAGCTGCACACTGAGCTGAGCTGCTGCGGTAGCACTAGGCAGTAGTCTGCTAATTTACGGCCAGGACGAAAGAATGTGAAAAAACATCAACCATCTCGTCTAAAATGTACTATATTCGACTTCTCAATAATGAAATCTGTGTCAGGAATAAAAAATAGACCTTCATACGAGATAAAAATGATATTTTTGCAGTGATTTACCGAACAAAAACACTGCTCGAACTTCAGTGGTCCGAGAAGATACAACGCACATTTAATGTACGTGCGGCAATGCGGATTGCGAGCTGTGAGTAAATTGTCCGAAATGTCATTTTTTTTGTCATTTTACCTAGAGTAAAGGAGCCCGTAATCGGCCAGCTCCAGTTTTCGGCCGATTGGTTGGATGCAAGGTAAAATCACTCTAAAATACATCGCATAATAGCATAACACATATCACACACATACCATACCATGCCAGTGTCACTGAAGAACCACATTTGCAATGGAAAATATATCCTAAAATATCACATTTTAGCGATGTAATCGCCGGTCCCGCTACCCAAATCTGAAAAATCGAGTATCTTACGCGTGTCTGTAAGAAATATGGGTACCATAAAATGAGCTTTATTTCAGATTTAAAGCCCGATTTTGTGCTGGTCGCAAGCTCAAAAGTATCTCATCGCATGTATTAAATCAATGCAGCCGCACACCGCGACGCACACACGATATCTCTGTCTAATTCAGATTCCAACTTCCGATCACCGCTGTGCCCGTCTTCGGCCAAGCGAGCACCAGGGAGCTCCGGCGTGGGATACCTGCTCCGCCCGCTTGTGCTGTACATCAGCGCGGAAACGCACGGCGCGCGCGAGCGCTTCCTATTGACTTTGTACATGCGGCCGTAAACTGAAACGCTCGGCCGATAACGGGCTCCAAAACAGTGAAAATTGAAATGAATATTGTCATGGCAATTCGTGATTTTTTTCTGGGATTCTTTTTTTGTTTAAATAATAATAATATTTGCTTCATGATTTGAACAAGAAATGATAATAAATAGGAAGTAAAGAGTCCTAAAAATAGGATTTTGTCTTAAGTGGCCGAAAACGGGCTCCTTTACTCTAAAGATAAGTTATAGATTGTCTTCATTGGTATCATTTAACACAATTCCATTAAATATTTTGGTTGGAAAGGGCATTGTTAAGTCACAAAGAGCACAAACATATACACATTGGTATCTCTCGATCGATTAATCAGGTCGGGACATCTCGACCCAGTTTTTCCAGCTGGGCCGAGTAGTCCCGTGGGCCAAGTTAGCCCGACTCCGACCCTACTAGATCTAGAGTAGAGTCTCCGGTTTGCGGCATAGCCCGGTTTGCGGCCAGGGGTATCACTTTTCAAAATAAAATCAAAATGACTCGATAATAATCATTGAAACCTACCGTGGATTCCCCGGTAAGTTCTGCGCTGCCGAAAACGTCCGTAGCAGATGCTCTTGTCGGTACGGAGTATCCGTCAGCGATGTCGGAAATCTACGGCACCAGTCGGCGATGAAAATTCCAGCAGGTGCTTACTTTTAAGTTAACAGATCGAGGCATGACTAGATCAATATTGTAGCTCTATTTGTCCGATATTTGTCCGATTGGAGGTGAAATTTGATGTTTTTGTGGAAGTATGATGACTGTGGTCTGTCTCCTATCGCAGATATTTTGATTGTGCCACCGCATGGCCAGTTGCATGGGGTGGCCGCAAACCGGCACGTAATTACGTGATTTTCTGGTTTGCGGCGGGGGGTGTTAATACACACATAACATGCGGGATCGTGTATGATGGTATGTGTGCTGATGTGTGTACCCGCTGTGACCCGATAGTTTCTAGTAGTACGTACCCCCGTATGGGATGATCCATTCAGTAAAAAGGTGAAATTGTTTAAAACTTGTAAAATTTACCGTAGCAACAGATAAACATGAGAATTTGGGTTACCCGTAGTAATTTGGTATATGCTTTGATCGTGACGTAGCGCATAAAGCTTTGTGACGTACGCGTGCCGCAAACCGGGTTACGCACGGCCGCAAACCGGGCAACTTTTACGTCTTCTAAAGTGGACAGTACTGACCACGCTGTGGGTCAGTTACGTTATTTGTGCCTTCTATTTAATAACTAAATATATGAACTCTCTATTGACGGTATTGAAGTATTCTGTGAGTAATTGCATCAAAAATAAAATCGGCAATTCCCACTGGACGGCCGCACACCGGAGCCGCTACTCTAGTAGGAGACTTTCAAATCATGACCTTTATTTTCTTTATTTTATTTTGACATTTGATGAATATTTACTTCATTTTGGGTATGTTTTAGTAGGGTATCTCCACGCCGGAGAAACGGGTCAAATTTTTGATAGACTTCTGAACTAGCGCCAAAAATGGATACGAAAGTACACTAGCGCTAGAGCCACCTCAAACATGCGCTCGTCTGGTGCTATGCCATCCCGCCAGCGCCCGCGCACGACGACGTCCGAGCTCCGTTGTGCAGTGTGTGAGAGACCGGAGTCAAAGCCAAGACTAGTACTAGACTAGATCACTAGCCTCTACATTACACTCACCTTATTTCCATGGGTGGTTAAACAAGAAAAGGCTCTGGTAGATATGCCTGTGATTCTGGAAAGAACAGGAAACATTTTACACAATTTGATCTTGATTTCCGTCAAATTTTATAACGTTGAATCGGAAGGAAAACTTTTCTACATGGTACGGTATTGGTAAAAATTAAGAAGGAAAGGAAAAAAAGTGACGGTACGGTAGCTACATACGTAACTAGGCGTTGTGGCGTGCGCCTGTAATCCAGCTAACAGTGGAAGTTACAAACTGATTCAGCCGAGGACGCAGGTTCGAAACTGAGTCACGTCTTTCGGATGGTGACGTTAAAAGTCGGTCCCCAGACGTAAATAATCATATCTGATTGATACACGTCTGTAAAAACCCAATTACACACACACACACATACGTATGAAGGGGTGACCAAAGTTCGCGCAGATTTTAGAACAAATTAGAAAATGTGATATTCGATCCATGTTTTCTCATATTCTACACAAATTTATTTATTTTAATTACTACCAAATGGACGGCAAAGTATTTTACTACCAATTGGTTCAACTACAACATTTATCGTCGAAGGATTTCGGAGATATCGCGATCTAAAAATTCGATGTCCGATCGTGCATGCGCGCTGCATCTAAAAAAGTCATAAAAACAACGAGACCTAAGTTCACGCACGGGGGTTTACAGCTGATTTATACAAAAATACGATCCATCAAAAATAAGGTAATTTCATAATTTGCAAGGCAAAATATCATACAACCAGACGGTACCACTTATTACTTACAATTTTGAGGATATCTGCTCTCAAAATGAAGATTTCCAGACCCTTATCGGTAAGTTGGTAATTTTTCGGAACGGACGCAAATAACTGCAAAATGTGCCGATCTTTTGTCAATATTTTCACAATTTCGCGCCCAATTCCAAAGAAAATTTCGTTTCTGGGTAATTTTATGATCCTCTTTCCATTGGTGATATCAGATTTTCGAAATCTTACCGATTTTTTGAGAAAGCGAACTTTGGTCACGCGCGAACTTTGGTCACACAGCCATACACAATCATGTACTAGACGTGGGTCAATGTCGCTATTCATAAGGACCGCTATTCACAAGGTTCGCTATTCATAAGGTCCGCTATTCATAAGGACCGCTATTCATAAGGTCTGCTTTTCATAATTGGAGAAAAGGGTCATTATTCATAAGAGTCATTATTCATAAGGACCGCTATTCATAATCAAAGAAGAGGGTCGGTATTCATAATATTAGAAGAGGGTCGCTTTAAATCGGGGTCGTTATTCGTAAGGGTCCCTATTCAAAATACTACACAAGGGTCGGTATTCGTAATAGGAGTAGAGGGTCGCTATACATAATACAAAATGAGGATCGCTATTCATAAACAGAAATGAGGGTCGTTATTCATAATAGGACTAGAGGGTTGCTATTCATGATACAAAATGAGGGTCGCTATTCATGATAAGAAACGAGGGTCGCTATTCATAATAGGACTAGAGGGTTGCTATTCATAATACGAAATGAGGGTCGCTATTCATAACAAGAAATGAGGGTCGCTATTCATAATACGAAACGAGGGTCGATATTCATAATACAAAAAGAGGGTCGCTATTCATAATAGGAGTAGGGGGTCGCCATTCATAATACGAAACGGGGGTCGCTATTCATAATGCAAAATGAGGGTCGCTATTCATAAGAGTAATTATTCATCATGGTCATTTTTCATAGGAGAAGAGGGTCGCTATTCATAATAGGAGTAGAGGGTCGCTATTCATAATAGAAGAAGAGGGTCGCTATTCATAATAGTGAGTGGGGGTCGCTATTCATAATAGTAGAAGAGGATCGCTATTCAAAATAGGAGTAGGGGGTCGCCATTCATCATACGAAATGAGGGTCAGCATTCATAATACAAAAAGAGGGTCGCTATTCATAATAGGAGTAGGGGGTCGCCATTCATAATACGAAACGGGGGTCGCTATTCATAATGGAAAATGAGGGTCGCTATTCATAAGGGTAATTATTCATTATGGTCATTTTTCATAGGAGAAGAGGGTCGCTATATATTCATAATAGGAGTAGAGGGTCGCTATTCATAATAGAAGAAGAGGGTCGCTATTCATAATAGTGAGTGGGGGTCGCTATTCATAATAGTAGAAGAGGATCGCTATTCAAAATAGGAGTAGGGGGTCGCCATTCATCATACGAAATGAGGATCGCTATTCATAAAAAGAAATGAGGGTTGCTATTCATATAAGGACTAGAGGGTTGCTATTCATAATAAGAAATGAGGGTCGCTATTCATAATACAAAATGAGGGTCGCTATTCATAATACAGAATGAGGGTCGCTATTCATAATACAAAACGAGGGTCGCTATTCATAATACGAAAATGAGGGTCGCCATTCATAATACGAAACGGGGGTCGCTATTCATAATGCAAAATGAGGGTCGCTATTCATAAGGGTCATTATTCATAAGGGTCATTATTAACAGGAGAAGAGGGTCGCTATTCATAATAGGAGTAGAAGGTTGCTATTCATAATAGAAGAAGAGGGTCGCTATTCATAATAGGAGTAGGGGGCCGCTAATCATAATACGAAATAAAGGTCGATATTCATAATACGAAATGAGGGATCGCTATTCATAATACAAAATGAGGGACGCTATTCATATAGGAGTAGGGGGTCGCTATTCATAATACGAAATGAGGGTCACTATTCATGATACCACGAGAGAGTCGCTATTCATAATACGAAATGAGGGTCGCTATTCATAATAGGAGTACAGATTCGCTATACATAATAAGAAATGAGGGTCGCTATTCATAATATAGAGTTAGGGTCGCTATTCATAATACGGAATGAGGGTCGTTATTTATAAAACGAAACAGGCCTTGAAACAGCAATATCCAAAATGCTCATAACAAAGAGAAATGTTGGACGGAGGACACCCCTAAGGCGACACATGGCCCTGAATATTTGTCTTGTTTTTAAGTAGGTATATTTCACCTTTTATCTTTGATAATTATATAGAAACATCTCCCGCCCTTATGGTGACGCAAAAAAAAGGTAAACATGAACATATATATCGAAATTTGACTTTCTTGTGGAAAATGTTGCCCCACCACCCTGCCCTCGACTGATCTTATCCAGGCTATGACAATGCGACATTAAGTAGACCAAGCAGGCCCATATTCATAGTTATTCAAGGACCGAGTTTGCTATTTCAGAAATTGTCATTGTTTATACGACAATTATGTTTTTGTAGAAAATAGCTTTTAGTAGGAATTATGGACCTACAATAATTATGGACCTACAATTATGGACCTATAATTATATAGCGGGGTTGGGCCGGACCACGAGCCTACTTACTGAACGGAGAGGGGTGTGAGGGTGGGGGGGGGGGGGCACTTTAGAATAATGGCTTGTTTGAGACTTTGAGGGATAGGGGGCTTGAACACTTTCGGACCTTCACGGTTTTCGCGTCATGTATCGTACAAATAGGTAAAGCAATCCGAATATGAATCAAACATTCATTGTCTTTTTTTGTTGGGGTGATGGTGATGGGAAAGGAGGTCTGATAAGGTCTTTTTAGTGCAACACATTTAAAGTAAAAAATGCCGTGAGAAATATGTCTTCGTTTGTATTTTGTGGTGGGATGTCTAGCCCTCGTAGCAACAATGGGCCTGATATAATGATAAATACAGAACAAACACAGGAAAAATACGGAATGTAAACATAAATATGAATGCAGGTTCAATACAAAATAAACATTAATTAATTAATTCGAGACATGATAAATTCAAAGCAAACACAGCAAATACATGTAATAGTTATACGAGTCGATATATACATGCTTAAAGGTTCAAACACGAAATATAGATAATCAATTACTTTAAATAACAAAACCATAATAAAAAAGAAAATACAATAAAGGGAACAAATAGAACGAAGATATGCAAGTTGCCATGAAACAAGATAGATAATTACAGAACAAACACATCATACATACCACCTGTCAATTCATCATACACATTGAGAACAGGAAAATATTGTTGTTTTTTGTTTTGTTTTTGTTAACCATATTAATCTTTATTGAATTTATTATTGTGGAAAAGCATATATTATATTGTCATCCTATATGCTCACTGTCTCCCACGAGTTTGAAATAGTGTCTTATTGTCGGGGTCATCTCGTAGGAGAGGTTGGTAATCATCAACCATATACATTTTGTCTTACTGTCACGTTCTAAATCTTTCTTCTTTTTTCTTTTATTCCTGGCCGAGGTGGATTTCTTGTAAAGTATATCGTCTTGTCACCAAAGTTTGACTATCAGTTGAGGGGGAGGGAGGGGGGAGATTTCGCACAAGGGGGACAAATTACGATAGGATTATGTGTGTGTTATGTTTCCCTTTTTTGTCACCACTGGATCGGGGGAAATATATTAGCTAGATTATGGGGATGTATTTATATAATTATCAAAGCTAAAAAGAAAATATAGGCCTACTTTTAAAAAGACATTATACAGAGCTAGGACGCCACCGTTTGCATAATGCCTTACGATTACAAATCGTATCTTATTTGACTTAAAATCTTGAAAATATTACTTCCTTACATAATGAGGAGGAAGAAAAAAAAATCGTGCAATATTGACGAAAATTAAGCTTGAATATTGTATATAATTAACTCCCTGCAACCAGGGGCGTCCCAAATGGGGTGTGGGGTGCGACACCCCCGCCTGTCAGGATATTGTCGGTAAAATTGCGCTGCTGTCGGGAAAAATGAGAAAAGGGGGAGGACAAAAAAGGAGAGGAAATGGGAAAGAAAAGAAAAGGAAAAGAAAGGAAAGAAAGGAAGAGAAGAGGAGAAAGAAAGAGAAAAAGTGGAAGAGAGGAAAGAAAGAAAAAGAAAGAAAAGGAAGAAAAGGAGCAAAAGAAGGAAAAAAACAAAAAACAAAACAAAAGAAACGGGGGATGAAAGATAGAGAGAGAGGGGGGGGGGGGTAATTAAGAGCCCGAGAGAAGAGGGGTGAGTTATACCCCATTCACAGTGGCCTCAAACACCGCGACAGCAGCGGGACTGTCCCGCTGCTGTCTTCAGTGTGAAGGCTCGTACCCGTTATAAACTATCGCGGGATAACACCGCCTCGCGATAACGCCGCGACAAACTATC